GACTATACTTTATATAATATATATATATATATATATATATATATAATATTTACTATATTTTTATTATATTGAAATATCTATAATTTTTTTTTAGAAGAAGTAAAAATATAAGCTGATTACGAAAATTAACATTAGGCACATAAATAGTATCAAAAATAATAAATTCGGACAATCTACATTGTTATTTAGCAAGTTAAAAATTCAACATATACCAATAACTTATTCTTTTCAGAAAGAGAAGACATATTTAAATATTCGAGCACTTATTTTTTGAATATTCTAAGTTATTTAATTTGTAATTTATCATGTATAAAAAGCGTTAATGAATTGACTCAATATTATTTATCTCACCTATTAGATTCAATACCATTTAATCCAGACGATAAACCAAATAAATCTTACCAGTGCAATATATAAAGTTTTTAAACAATTATGTTAGTTTTACACTAATTATTTATAATAAATTATAATGGCTAACTTAGAAAAATAAAATGAACCATTTTTACACCAATGTTATTACCTAAGCTATTTCAATTGTTTTACTTCTATTCATAAGTACAATTTAAAGGAATTAGGAGTATAGTCCCTTAAAAATTTACAAATTATATTTAATGTTGTATAAAATATTTTTATAATAATATTTTATGAATGGAAAAAATTAATTTAGAACAAAATTTGTAGTCTAGTTGCACCTTTGTTATGAAATATGAAACAAATTATTAGTTAAAAATAATCATATGTTTTTAAAACTAATATTTCATATGGCAATAAATCAAACGGTTATTTTTCGTGTTCATGTGACAGCATCGTGTTCATTATAATTCATACAAGCAACATAGGATTTTGATTTAATTTTTTAAAGATAAAATCTTTTAACTTAGCTAAATGTATTAATAAATGGTTAACTATAATCAATCATTGATCAATTATTTAGCCAAAATAAAAAAATTAGATGATAACCATAGTTGTAATAATTTTTAAACTGACAGGGCTAATCTTCTTTACTTTAAGTTCTTAATCAATTAAAAAATTGTGTAGATATATTTAAAATTGTCGAGAAAAAAACATTAATATTCATTTAAATTTTTCTAAAATGATAACATGTATTTAAAAAAAGTTGTGTACATTTTTATACATTATACAAAATATTATAAATGTAATATCACATGTATAATTATTAGATGCAATGAAATTCTCGTGTTAATTTAGCCAATACATTTATAAACTATTCAATTGGTTTTACAGTTTATGGGGAGATTTACAAAAATATTTTGAACCATATGGTTTAATTACTGAATTTTATTTGAGGGTTAGGGTCAGAAGTTAACTATGCATAAAAAAAAGACAATATTTAAAATTTTTTTCCTTTGCACAAGAAAATAATTGTATTAAAAATGAACATAAACATAAAATGTTTGTAATTTAATTTTTACTACTCCATCAATTGTTTTAAAAATTTAGAGATTTCATGAAACTAACTAAATACATTTGGTCCTTTAGAATTTTGGAAAAATCTTAGTAGTTCCTTACCTTGATGTACCTAACGGTCTAAAAAGGTCTTAGTCTATAAGGAAACCCCATTTAAACCCGATTCTTTTTAAAATATTATTCTATTTGCTATTTGTTTAATTTATTTTATTATATTTATTAATGAAATTTAATCTTAGCAGAAGTATATTCGAAATTAGTATATTATAAATTATCGTATTTTTAAAGTAAAAATATTTTGACAAAAGAAAAATAAAAAATTGCTTTTGATAACCATTTCAAATCTTTTATTTAAAAAATGCTAGTTTGTTCAAATGAAATATTTAATTAAGGTAATAAATATAAGATATTAAAGCATTATTACTTACAGAATAATAGTTATAATAATAATTGGTCACTTGTGGCTAAAATTATTTAATATTAAAAATATATTTAAAATATTAATTTAAAACTAAAAAATATAAAAACTCAAAAAACCACAAAAATTAGTAAAAAATCGCGTATAAGAATTTCAGGAACAATGTTACCATCATCAGCGCTATACACATACTACATACAAATACAAATACATACTGTGGAAGTTATTCATTTTTTTTGGTACAAAAATAAAACTTAAGTATTTTACTTTAATGTTAAATTAATCACAAAAATTTATTATAATAGACATTTGGATAAGCTCAATTTAAATCGCTACTCTTAAGTTTACAAATTATTGATCTAACAAACTGTGATTTCTTCAAAAACAAAAAAAATGGCCCATTTATAGCGAAATTTTGCGACCTGTTTTCGGCTTATATCCTAACTCTTGAAAATTATACGTATATTAGATATATAACACTATTACGTTATATGGTATTAATTGAAATCATTATAATAATTATATCTGTAATTATTATTAATATTTTTATGATGATCAAGTTATTGTCAAATAAATAATAATTATTTTGAAGTTTATTAGAAACCTCTCTTAGATAAAGCAATCATGTTTTACTTAAACTGTTAAATTAATGATATAAAAAAACATTTTTTTAGTTAATTAATAATTTTGCAATAAAACTGCGTAACATTTACTGCTAAGCCTTTATGAGTTTTTATTCACAGATTGCCACATAATTAAATCAACACAACATGTTGACTTTAGTATTCACTGATAGTAAATTAGCTAATATTTAAATAATTAGTTAATTAGCTTCAATGCGTAGCTCTTTTTTGTTTGTTCATAAAAATACTCGACACCTACTGGACCAATTTTATTTAACTATACGTCAAAATATTTAGAATCGTATCTAGTTAAAGCACCAAAGCTATCCATTATTTGGGAAAATCACAATCAATTTCCTTAATAATGTGAAATCATTCGAAATATTTATTGGTATTATTTTAGACATTAACGTTGCTGACGAATTATTTTTTTGAAAATCCAAACATTAACCACAGTACTCAGAAGAGAGTTTAAATATTATCTAAAATTTCCCCTGATCAAATTTTGATATTATTTTAACAAATAAACTCGGGTTCTTTAAATTTATATTAAATTAAAGATAATACAATGCACATGGATGTGAAAAAATAAAAACTATCCGATAATTTAATTTCTAAGAGTAATTAATCAATAAGTAAAAAAAAATAATCGTAAAAAATGAAATGTTTTACTTAGCAAATAAAAGCTTTCTTAATGTACTATAAAATTAAAAGACAAAAAACGTATTATTAATATTTAATATTCTCATAACAATATTTTAGAAGAAATTTTAATTTATCAGTCTTTGGCCGCACCCAGAGAAAAACCTCGATCTATATAATAAATTCATTGTTCAATTTGATAAATATATCATTACTATTGAATCTATGATATATTTATCAAATTGAACAATGAATTTATTATATAGATCGAGGTTTTTCTCTGGGTGTAACAACATATTTGGACAATTTTTTTTTTTATTAAAATGTTGATAATGTTCTTAAACATCTGCATTTTTAAAACTCAAACCAAATTAAAGATTCTAAAATGTGCTTCAAAATTAAATTAAGAACTAAGCCCTGATAAATTTGATATTAATTGCAGTCACATTTTAATCTATACTGGACTTCTATACTGAATCTCCTCTATGCTGGATTTTTTTATTAAAACAAACAAAATTGTGTGTTTGTACTAAGAGTATAATTTTGTGACGATTAGTTTTAAATAATTTACCGACAAGAAATTTACTAAATCGTTTAAAAGACAATTAAAAGTTAAATACACATTTTTTATTTTTAGTGCTGTTTTGAAAAGATATACTAATGTTTTGTTTTAGAAGAATAATAATTACACATCGAAAACAAACTCCACGGTACTTATTAAGTCACAGTAATTAAGTTCAGTTTAACAAATTTTTGGACAACTGTTTTAAATTTAAAAATGCGCAGTATTTACATTGTTGGTACATGCACGCGTGCTGTTTATCCTGAAGTTCACATTGATCATCTAGACATGCTTTATCTCATTGTAATAGGTTAACAAACGTGTTTTTTCTGAAGTAAAAAAAAAAATTGAACTAATGTCATTTGACCATTCATAATACACATATTGTATTAAATGTATAGTAGGAACGTAGATAGTTAAACGCACGGAGGGTAATTGAGTACCATAACTCATAAATTATGCACAGCAGTTATGTTTGTATAATAACTGGTCCAATTAGTCAAAACTGGTTCCTGAATTCTTTAAGCAAGAAAGTTTAAATAAAAATTATGATAGATTATGTAAATTATTTAAAATTTTAAAGTTTGAAATTTTAACATAACTTCTGCACATTTTATTTTAATATGTACTCAAAATAAATGTTACGAAAGATAGTGAAATTATTGATTGTCAATTAAATTAAATTAATGATACTAAAAAACAGCATTGCGAAAAAATTTGGGTTGAATATAACTCTTAATGGAAACATGATTAAAATAAAAAAAAATGTGTAAATTTATAGGAATAATTGACCAAATATGTATAAATTATGTGCAAAATCACTGTCATTTGATTTTTGTACAATTTTTCCTATAACTATTTAAGATTTTACGAAATAATCTAAATATAGCTTTTGAAAATGATTATTTTATTACTCACATGCAATTTATTTTTTATGAAAATCTTTACATAGTGTATAATTTTAAGAAACTGGTACATTTTTTTAAAGCAACATCATTTTGTATTTCCTTAATTATATTCTCAATAGTAGTTCTATTATTTGTAAGTAAAATATATGTATTTTTACACAGTAATTTATAGTTTTAATTATGATACTTAAACTTAGTATGAAATTGATTTCAATAATTTAATATTGTATCACAATATACGTAACTCTTTTTGAATGTAGTTATCAAATCACATACTCTTTGTATTATATTACCCACAATTATACATAATTTCTAAAGTTTGTATTTATAATTTATTGAAAATTATTCATAAATATACTGTACACTTACTTATTTTCAATTCATGTTTCAGATTAATATTTAAACAAAACAAAAAATACTTATCTTCAAGAAATTTCGATCGTCAGTTTATTTGTTCATACTAATAAGTGTTTTAAATAAAATATCAATAATAATAAATGGAAAAAATGAATACAAATAAAACATAATATTGTGTAACAAGCACAAATACTGATAAACAAAAGTTAAACCTAAAAAGTCGTGAAACGTTAAAACTTTACTAATAAAGCTATAAAATTATTTATTAATAACTAATAAACGACACTTATTTTTTAAAAGTATTATTTTTGTCTATTACACTATAAATTTTAACAATATAGTTTCAAATTTAAAATACAATAAGTTCTGCACTTAAAAACAAAAAAATATAAGAAAATACTGATCATAATACATACTAAATAAATATGAGAATAAAATTTCAATAAAATTATTTAAGATTACATAGAACCTATGATCTACATAAATTTTGTTTAATTTTTCACTAATTTGGAACAAAATTAAATTATAAAAATTAAAGTTATTTTAACATGTAAAAAGTAAATTTTAAATTGTAATGAAAATTATAACAATGTAATTATAGCTACATGAAATGTACAAGTCTTTTATTAAATAAAATTGTAATTTTTGGTCTACGAAGTATAATTGTATTTTTTTTTTATAGAAAAGGTACATGTGTTTACGCTATTACATAAGTTACAATAACTAATACAACGCTAAATTACTGAAAATAACACTAATAAAAATTTTTTCGATAAAAAAGTAGAAAAAAGATAAACCTAGATCTAAAAATTTTTCTATTAGCGAGAGCGACTATTTTGTTTGCTGATAACAATCAGATTGAAATCCAAATAAAAGGATCACATCTATACAAAAGATGTCCTAATTTCTAAATCAAATAGAATTTTTTTTTTTCCTAAAAACTGTTTAACGAATGTATATTATAATTACTAAATAATAGAAATTTAAAATAACAAAAACATAATATAAATACAATTGATATAAGATAAATTATAGACTATAGTAAAACAAATGAAGAAACATTTTACAAATAGTGAAATAAAAATTGAATTTTATCATGTTTCTTTTAACATCACTATGGTCTAAAAATATATAATATATAACATATTAACCTAGTTATTGCGAAAGGTAAAGGTGAGTCCATTTTAGTATCCGTGATTGTCACACAAAACTTTTTTAAAGTAATATATATATTCAATAAACTACCTTGGCGTTGAAAAATTATTCTAATAAATCTTATGAGATATGATATTACATAAATTTATACAAAAGAAAGAAAAAGAAATCGAAACATTTCATTTAATATTTTTATGTATACATAAACAATTTGAAACAACTAAACTACCCTGTGATTGTATTATGAATTGGGAAAGTACTTATTTATGCGTGTCAAGAATATGAAAAGTAGATACAAAAATAAAGATGGTCTAAGAATAACAAATGAAAAATGAGAGGGAAATGATCTGCATTCACAAAAATTATTGTTGGGTAATAAAGCAATAAAAAATATCTACACAATATATACGCGTATATTGCACTTTTTTTCAATCTAAAACGGATCATTTGTAAAATTAACAAAAAAAGATTAACAACAACAATAACAATAACAGCGTATGAACTACAATAAATAAATCGAGAAGATTATAATATATTTTTAAGACTTACAGTCTACAATTAAATATAAAAAGAACCAATGGAATGTAAAAGATCAAACACAAAATTCAACTAAAAAATATATCACATAAAAGCGTTTTTGTTTGCTTACAAGTTTCTGGACCAAAATTGCTTCAGTTGACTAGTGAAATTATAAAAAAGAATATTTATGTATAAATAGAAAATGAAATTTTCATTGTTATAATTATCATAGCCTAATATAATATATACCTTTTAATAATTATATTTCAAAATCATTTTAAACTAGAATTAATTCACTATAATAAAATATTGCTTATTTTTGTCTTTTACGTTTTAATAACAAACTCAAGATTGTCAATGTTGAACACAGTACAAGGACAAGCATTTTCTCCAGACCGAATAAATAATCAATTATATTGTAATTTTATTCGTTTTCATGAGGGAAGGGAGCTAGGTAATGTATAATACATTATATTGTACTCCACTAAGCTCTGAACACATTAGGTAGGTAAAGTGATAATAAAAAATTCATGATATGAAAACTATTGAGTTTTTTATTGAAACAGTTCTATTAAGAAATTAGGACATAGTATTCATTACTATTTATAAATTATTGATATTCGTCGGCAAGTCATAATATGTATTAATAATCTTAAGTGCCTATTCGATTGTACAAGCAACAAGAAAATGTTTCTTTTTAACTATAATGATTGCTCAAATTGTACCTGATTTTATTTCAAATGACTGAACAAATGTAATTTTTGGTTACCTAGAGATGCTTATTATAATTTCCCCACTTTCAAATGCAAAGAAAGATATCCATGGCATTGTTTCAAGTCCACAGTTATTTTAATTAATTATATTATTGCTAAATATATGGTTTTGATTGCAAATACATTTATTATTTTACTCGTTGATTAGGAAGTAAACATTAGTTTTAAATGCAAAGATAACAATTAAAACGAATAAGTGATAAAACGATTCCCCAGTCATCGTGTACATCGTAAAACGTTGGACGATGATAGTATTTCAGCCTTGATGCAAATCTTCTTCACATTTGGGTATGTCGAATATTTCGGCAAAAAGCGGTGGCAATTTAAGCATGTGCCAATTTAACCTGAACCACTCGAGGTATGCAACATGACGGCGACCGATTGTTCGTAACTCTGGCAACTTTGACAACACAGATTGTGCTAAATTCTTGTCTCCCCCGTGACTTTTGCTCAGCTGCAAAAAGTTAAATCATTGTAACGATTGTTTTTATATTGTACACGCATTCATTCAAAAATAAGTTGACTAGCGCATGGTAAAAATGCACAAAAACTATTAAACAAAAAACAATTATTTAAAAACCACGTGGTTCCCTCGTGAGCAGCTAATTTGCGCATATAAAAAAGCATGACTGACATATTATTACAGTGAACATCGTTTGTACAACAAACAATTAAAAACAATTGACCTTAAAGACACCTCATAGGTTTTGAACTCAATGTTTAACAACTCCAACGGGAATTTGGTAATCGAATCTTTTTTTAATTTGATTGTTTTATTAAAAAATGGCTATTGTTTACTTATATCATTCACGATAAATTTAATAACTGATAGTTGATAAATAATAACTAATCATCAGCAAATCTTTGCGATATTTGCAATAAAATATTTTATGTGCACAGATTTCATCTTCAAATTAGATCAGATGGTCATTTTACTTTTTAGTTTTGTCTTCAATGTCACGCTGACTTACTTGTAATTTAAATGCTTCGACTATTCGGTCCTGACTATGCTGTACAGTTTTCACTTCAGATACTCCTGGTCTATCAGGAGTCAGTAGTACTATGGCAGCAAAAAGTCCAACTTCTGTATCAGTTAAAGACAAGCTGTTAAAAGATGTCACCAACTGGAACACACTAGAGGCAAATTCCACCTAGAATTCAATAAAACAATTACAACACATCAATCTCAACATTTGATAATTACTTTTACAACAATTTACTAAGAACAAAACTTCTCATATTCCCCACTATTTTTTTTTTATCGGCTGCTATCATTATTATCTTTTTAACAAATTTGCAAATAATTATAAATATTTTTAAACTTTGAAATGAATTATTTTAAAAATAATGATAAATTATTTTACTTAATGGAGTAAATTCGTCCTACTTCAGTGTTTCCAATCAATTATTTATGTCATTAGTAATCAATAACTTTTATGAATTCTTTTAGTGAATAAAAATACATATATATTTATAATTTTTGAAAGTTTAATTTTAATGCGTATCATCGCACATGTATAAATAGAACTTGGAATGTTAGACGACAAATAATTTGATTGAATTATAATCAATAAAGACAACGTAAATAAATGGGTTATACGCATTATTATATGATAGGGGAAGTGTTTACATTCTCGTTGAGTACTTTGACTTGAAAGCTAAGCTTTCAAACTACTTCATAAAAATAAACTCATGACGTCTGTTTACTTTTATAGTAACCGATTGATTTTTTGAATAAATAGGTCGAAATAGTTTTTGGTAGTTTTCATAATTATTTTAACATCAAACCGAATAAATTGACGAATTTCAAGACTGTTAAATAATTTATGAAACGAATTAAGAGTTGTCAGAGTGACGTTTAGTAAATTTCATTTTCATTTGAAAAAAAAACAAATGCCTACGAATCAATAAAAATGGCTTTACACAGTTATAATTATCGTATGTCTATTTGCATGCGTGCACGTGACAACACTATTTTTGTAATTTATTGCACGTGTATCGATCATGATAATTAATAACGATATTATGCCTACGTCGTAAATAAGCTCTAGTTGTTGTCGCGTGATAAACGTGCCGTCATAGAAAGTCAGCGACAAATCTGTGGCCAATCTGGAAACGTAACACAGCCACAATTCGAAAAATCCCACTTTGATGAGTATGAGTTGATCATCTTGACTGAGGTCAACAAAACCTGTTAAAAAAAATGAACCGTTACATACCATACTTAATTATCGATATGTGTCACTGAGTTTGTCTCGAACATTTACCTGGAACTCGCTTTGCGAATTCTACTACCCTCTGTACCGTAGGCGTGATGTGTGCGGCTAGTTGTTGCCAAAGCCAGATCTTTTGTTGTTCTTCACTGTCTGCTGTCGATGAAGCCACTTCCGGACTAGAACAACCTTGTGTCGGCTATTAAAAAAAAAATAAGCACATGAAATATAAATGTACACGTAAAGAAAAATGATAAGCCATTCACTGAAATAACAGTAAAACTCGTGTAATCATCTGGTTTTTTTAATTATAAGACTTTCTATAAATGTCCTCTCTGAATAACTGAAACGTCTCATTTTAGTCTACTTCTATTTCCTAGCCTTAATCTCAACTACCCAACCCTTATCCGAAACTTCTGACACGATCTCCCACATCATGTACGCTCACATCAGCCGTCCTCATATCGCTCTACCAAACTTCTCTTTTTAATACTTTTAAAATAAACTTTAGGAAAAATGACAACTATTTTAGTTGCATTTTTAAGAAGAGAGGTGCTGCATGCTATCAATTCGACAATTATTATTCACACTCCTAAATCAAATATATTCTTGTTGAACAAGTTAATTAAATAGCAAAAACTTACGGGAGAAGCGACTGGTTTTCGTAGTAACGTTCTTGTCAGCTCGTCCGTGTAATCGCAGTTAGTAAGATGAGCTTGAGATATGGCAGCAATAACGTCGTACGAAACAGATACGTTACCACAGTTAGTTTCTATTACAGCTATCGCAGTAGGTATTGGATCAGCAGCAGATGGGACTAAAACTACCGGCGTAGTTGGAGTTGTGGTCGTTGTAGTCACTACGGCAGCGGTCGCCATCGAATCTGCTGCGGTCACTGTCTTCGATTCAGACTCGAGTTGTTCGCGGGATCTCTTCGGAACTCTTCCGTATCGAACAGCTACAAACAAACATTAATGAGCAAATTATTCATTTTTAAATACAATCAGAAAACATTAGTACTGACATAAATATTTGAAATGCATCACTTAAATTGAAAACAAAGATTATTTTTTCATGTAAACCTTTACTTATTGAGGAAATAATTAAAATTATGAATGTTTTTTGATCAATGTTATAAACAATTTTTCAGTTCGTGTAAGCGTAAATATAACTATTTTTTTAGTTTGTTAAAGGTAAAAATATAAATCTATGTTCAACTTGAGAACTTTTTTGTAACACAATCGCATTAGTCAAGAATAAGCTATCACTTAAAAAAAAAAAAATTATAATAATAATAATTATTCTATCTTATATTTAATAAAATTTCTAATAAATTAAACTAATTTAATTCGATATATTAAATAATATCTTATGCTAAGTAAGCATAATTCAAAGTTAGTTTTCTGTAATTCATATATGTACAATTCAAATCAAAGAAGAAAAAGTTAAATACTATTTTTACAAAATCTAATAAATATTGTACTAAATAATAAATATGTATGCATTTATTGTAGTTATAAAAAAAAAGTATACTTGATTACCTAAACATTTAAATAAATTTAAATAAGAGTAGTTACTTTTTTTTTGTTATAATATTTGTCTGTAAATTACATAAATATACATATGTTCCTAAAAACGAAAGGAAACTACAAATTGTGCATGGGTGTTAAAGTATTGCCTATCCCAAAACTTTATTAACGATATTTTATTGCAACGTGAAATTGCTTCAAAAACAATTATGAAATAATTAATAGTAGTATTTTATTCTATAAGATAAAATTGATATAGTAATAAAAAACTATTGAAAATCTAAGGAACTTCAATAAATATTTTATTGTTTGTAGTTAAGAGATAAAATTATTAAAATTATTTAAAAAGTGATATAAAATTAGTTTAAAAAATGTTTGATCAAATAAATATCATTATTTTTATTTATCTATTCAAACATTTAGATCATTTTTTTTATTACTAATGATTAATCAGTAATAAAATAATATTAGTCTACTGCTATTGTATTAGAAATGAACATTTAAGAGTTTAGTATACTAAAAACATACATGTTTTTAACTTAAAACGTATCATTTTTACGCGATAACTCAGCCAGAAATGTATTGATGGAATTGCATTTGTATGACATTTGGCACGCTTTGAAAGCAATGGCATGCAAAGGTGTGAACCCGTAGGTGTACTTAAATTGTTTGTATGACTGTGTCTAAATTATGTAGATTCATATTCAACATAAAGATATTGGGCCATTGAACTCTCAAATCCAGTAATAAAATTGTTAAATCATCGAAGTATTTACTTTTTACGCGAAAAAGAACTACACTGCATCCTTAAGAAATTAACTAAAGTAATAATTTTCGCAAAGTAAATTAATTTCAAAAAAGCAGTTTCAAATCAATTTTTTCGGATACAAAAATTAAAATTATGACTTACACATTTTTTTTCTATTAGTATTCTATACAATCTGATCTATTTGATTAATAATCATAATTTATGAATTATAGTACACATTTATTCGTATAACAGATTAAATGTAATCTCCCAGTAGAAATACTACTAATGAGTAAATATAGTAATAAGACTATATTTACAAAATTAGGACATGGGTTAGTATTTACAGTTGAGTAGGTTGGGCTTTGGGCTATAAAATACTAGAGTATATGAGTAATTAATTATTTAAAATTAAGTTGGCCAGTCTCGACACCACTACCTTTTTAGTTTTTTACGAGGATTTCTTAGTATCGTGTTACAAGAAGGGACAGATATGAATTTATAACCCAACCCAACAATTTTCTGTTGCTGAATAGTTTTTATTAATCATATAATGATGGTAAGTTGTAAAATTTAGTTTTAATTTTAAATATATTTAATAAGCGAATTCACTTACCATATTATTTTCTACTAATCATAGATAAGTAAAAAGTTGTTTTAACGTAAGTAAAATCAAAAGATTATATTAAATATATTATATAAATTTCTTAAAAAAATTGGCTATTTAAAGACTTTCATTATTGGAAGTATTTGTATATACAATACATGTTTTATTTAACAATTTTGGTCTTGTCCATAAATTCAATTTCAAATTTGACTTTAAGTTGATTCAACTATTATTGAAGTAATTTAATTGCTTATATACAATACATTAAAGATTTGTAAATATCTTTTGCATCAGATATTTAACCAAGAGAGTTTAGCGAAAACCCTTTTTAGTTTCCGTATGCAATACGTGATTAAAACACAACTGTACTTCTATAGTTTAACTAAATACACTTACAATCTCTGGACATTCCAACCGTCAGACATTTTTTGAAACGACAATATTGGCATCGATTCCGATTTAAGCGAATTACCAAACATTTTCCGTCTCTTAGGCACCGATATTCTATTTGTTTCTGAATGCTGCGTCTAAAAAATCCCTGCAAAACAATAATAAATAAATCCATGCAAAAAAATTATAAATTTGCAATCATTATACTGTGCCCTAAATATAGATCTTTAGAAATACTAATAAATCTTTATTGTTTATGAAAAATATCTTATTTATATAATTCTATTACGTGTTTATATATATTTATTTAATTCTTTTTGTATAACTATTTTTTATAAACAGGGGACGATGAAGGTTAAATAACCGGATAGTGCAACGGTACTATATTAAACTAACTTGGATTTCACCTAATTTTTTTTGTTTTCGATAAACCAAGACCAATAAATAAGAAAGAAAAAAACCAAAAATGAGTTCACATCTAAAAATTGACGTTCATTTATGTTTTTACGTTTCACAAATAGTTTTTGTACGCGTTGTATTAAGTTGTACATTAAAATCTTAATCTATTATTTCTTTTAGTTTAAATTGTTAGTACATTTTTTTCAGTCAATATTGCGATTTTTTAAATGTATGACAGATAATTTAAAATGAAAAAGAATATAAATTGCTGTCTCTATGAAAGAAAATAGAATACTCTCGTATGTGAGTGTGTGTGTATCTGCGATGTACTATAAATGCATATGTATATATATATATATATATATATCCAAATGTTATTACCGACGTGAGTTGAATATAAGTATGGGCAGATCAAGTCAACGCACTGTCCGCCCATTAGCCATAAAACGCTTCTTTAAAAATCTTTATTCGTCTAAATTAATTAAACGTTCACGGTGCTAGGCATTAGCAAGTATTGATGTTACATACATTAAAGAATACTGTTCACACACATAAATAGTTCAATTGTAATATTCAAAATTAATCTTGTATAAGTAATCATTTAGTTAATCCAGATTTACTAAGCCCTACACTAGAGATTTCATTATGAAACGTTATTTCACTTTTTTTGACCTGTGTAATACTGTAAGGGTTTTGGAAATGAGATTGCATCTAGTACACACTTAATAATTATCCGTAAAGTAGCAATGGCATTTTAAATATATTTAATACGAATAAAGATTACACACTACCAAAACACAATTTACACAGTTAATAATTGCTCATTTTATCAACACATTCATAAATTCTTTTTCTAAGTAACCAATCAGTTATTAACCATAACTTAATCTGAAGTTTTGAATTTTATGTATTTACTAATTTATTAATTACAAATTGTTTGTATTACTATATTATTTAGTGATAATTATGTAACAGTGATATCCTGTTTTTTGTAAATTAATTAAACTTCCGTTGGAAATCAAGTATTGATATTATTAAAAACAGTTCAATTATTGTGAGCAATTATCAAATATATAAATTATAGTCCAAAATAGTTAATAATATAATGTTATAAGACAGTATTTACCTTGCAGCCTTCACACGATGTAACGCCATAATGATATCCAGACGCTTTGTCGCCGCACACACGGCAAGGTACAAATGATTTAGCTGGCGTGGTGTTGGAGTCAGCCGCCGCAAAATGTTGATCTGCAAAAAAAAATAAAAAAAAATAAAATAGAGTTTTACTAAATAGCATTATACTCTATCTCTATAGTATACATAGTTACAATGAACTCGTGTATTGATGAGTACCGATCATAATCGATGGTTCAAACAAAAATCATTAAAAGTAAAAATGTTGTTGCTAAAACACAGTTTTTGATAAAATGTTTAAATTAAGTGTTTCTTCGTAATTTTTAGATTTTTACTAGAATGCGTTTTTACATTGAAAACATGTAGTTGGTTATTGCTTTACACTAACAATACCAAGTCATTACAGTTTAAGATTAATAAAAACTGAAGTATATGGTATAATGTTTTATGAAGAACTCGATACAATCTTAGATTTTGATAATAATTTTTATAGCTAATAAAATGTTTTTTTAATTCCAAATATGAATGATCTGTTGGTAATAGTAGAATTATTTGGTGATACTCAGCACACATTTTTATATTAACGAGCAAGTATAAGTTTGCCCGAAGAAAATGACTAAGCGCTTGGAATACTCTAGAGACTTTTCCTCGACCCTTTTTATAAGCCGTTGTTTAAGTTCCAAAACTACTAACATTGATCCAGCACACGGCACAGACGGGGAACCCTACCAGAGAAATCAAGAAACTAGGTCACCAGACCTGTCACGCCCTACATTTTGTGGCCTCCCTTCCTTTTCCGTACACAAACCAACAGTCGCCCTTGCTTTTACAAACTGACTTTTAATATATATATATATATATAAGATATACTATAATATAAATTACAGAACGTTCACTTGGAAACGCAATATCTGCTACCGCCATAACACCAATGTCAACAATAAATCATGAACATTTAAATCACCGAGGATATTACTCAGTGAAGATTCCACAATAATTAAATTGAACACGTCAAAAGATATTTTCAAATAATTCCCAAGTTCCAGTTAACACTCAATCGTTTTTTGGTGAGGTTCAGAGGAATTGATTGTAATGAAAATAAAAGTTTTTATAAATGACTTTTAACACTTGGAGAGAGTGAGCCGTTTTAAAGTAGTGTAATTATTTTATACTAATAAGTGAACACACGAATACTGAAGATATACGGGTTGTAGATGTTCTATAGTTATGAATGCTCCTCGCAGTGAAATACTATGGTATGTACATAACATACATAACTTGGATTATGGCGTAATAACTTGATAGGTACAATAACCGGGTGTTGGAGAGAGTCAAATACGACTGCAGCAGGTTCCGGTCCTGTAAAGTAGATGCGTTTACCTACTAAACATTTGATATTTCCAACATCTCTGGAATGTATATTTCTTGTTACTCTTGAAACATCACATTTCAATGTTTCAAAATCAATTAAGAGCTATTTCTTTACAAGTGCCCGTAAGATCAAACAAAAGTAATATATGATAACCTTTATCATGTAATAACTTTGTTAGTGATTTTATAAAAAAAATCAACATATGAATACTCGGTAGATGACTACGAATATTGGTAAAAATATTCTTAAATTTCAAATGATAGGAACAAAGTTAAATTAAACATTCGTTTTTATGGATATATTAAAAAGTATACTAAAATTACAAAATCTATTAAATATAACATTAATGCTTGTTTTAGACTAATTGTTAAAATATTTATAAAATTCATCATAAACATTAAAATTTTAAATACTAAAGAAACTAATTAAACTTTTATTGATTTTTATTATTTTTGAAAAACTCTAAAACTCGATATGATATATTTTGTTATTATTATACAGCGAGAAGAACATGAGATATAAATTGTATATCTATCAAATGAAATATTATGTAAAGGATCTAGATGAAATAATCTAAAATAATTTTAGAACGTCTAGGATGATTCTTTTAATATGAACCCTTTAATTAATTGAGAAATAAAAATACTTTGGAAGTTATTAAGGCATAATACTTAGATAAAATGAAGAGTAAGAAATATTTAGTGATAATAACAACATTGCCTGCGCCTCACCTTCAGTCATTACATTAAATCGTAAATAACTTCCGAAATACTGTATCAAAAATTTATATCGACCAGCCATTTTCTTAAAAAGACCATAATGTAATAAAAAAACCTTGTTAATTAGGTATTTTCTCATTAAAAAAAAAAAAATTTCTACCTTTATAAGACGTAAGGGATAAACTTAAACAATATTTCAGGATTGATAAACTGAGAAAAACTAAAAGAAACCAAAAGAAAAATGTTCAACTAACTCTTAAGTTTTCGATTAATTAAGTGGTTCCAATAAAAGAATCACCCTGTAAGAATAGTACATTTCAACTTGTAGGATATACACGTGTATATTTGTACACTTTATTGCCACATTAGGTGTTATCCAAGTCATTAGCAGCCACCATAGCTGTTTTCCCCATCCAACATTTGTGAGTAGTCACGATCCATCATGTTCTCAACACCTTCGACATTGCCGTTCCCAGTTTACTCATTCTACGCCTATTAATGTGTCTTTTAGACAATACATGTCGGTTGGAAATTCTTAATTTACTAGGAAAAAAATATTAAAAAGTGATTTTTTTGCCTAATAACCTACTACATAAAAAAATCGAAATAATGAGATACTAAATCATTATAATAATATTTTCTGTGTTATACCGAATTCATATTGGATGTAGCTTTAAATAAAACGTTCTCATAATTTTGACGTTTGTTAGTTGAAAAGTAATCACTAAAAATTACTTATTATGTACACAACCCCATTTGCGGTCGCATAATTTATAGTTTCAACCGAACTAATTGAATTCTTGTTAAAACAATGAATTATTAATTGATTTGACTAATTTATACACTCGGTCTCTTTTAGGCGCGATTAGACGATTATAGGATTGTCCACGGACCAAGTGTATAACAAATACAAACGAATAGGATACTCGAAGAATTTTCATAATGGGTGACGAGTGATGTAAAAAAATAAAATGAATATGAGTTGGTGAAAAATCGCGGTGCAGTACTGGCGATAGGGGAAAAAAGGAAAAGAAAAAACATAAACAGTACACAACAATGGCCATAGGATATAAATATATTATTATATATATATATTTTTTATTCTAGAAGGGAAGTGAAGTGGGAAGAGCGAAAGATTCCGTCACTGCAGCAGGTTCAATAACCTGTTGTACCTCGTCGAATATATCCGACTTACACACACACACACACACATCTATACACTAAAGATAGTAAACGAGTGTGTATTGCTGGACTATAGCAACGATGGACGTTGCGAGCACACGGTATAACCAGTTTGCCAACTCTTTTCTCAGCCTCCTCACCCGCACGTCTACCCTCTCGCTGACGGCTGGTCGTCGTTCATACCAAAACTTAAAACACAAACCAGTTCCGACAATAAATAATTAATCGCTCCTCTTTCTCTTCCTCGCTCACTCACTCTCCTTAGTCTTCCCCTGTCTGTTTTGCTATCTGTTCTTCCTGTATACATCACGTTATAGACAAGCACTGCAAGGCCGATCTATCTATACGTACATAGGTACAAAATGATATATTACACATTTGAATAAATAAATACCACTGGAGTTATTGTCAGTTGATAAAACGAACACGATGTTTATGACTTAATGACGACAACAAAGCGTGTTATAAAAACTTATGTAATGCACAATTCTTAATGAGTGTTGGGTTCTGAAATATCGTATTTAAAAAAAAACCAAATTTTAGGGAGACCTACCAAAAGATTCCCTTTTCAAAAATGAAAGTAATAGTGATGAGAAAATATAAGAAGTAAGAGTGATAAAAAGAAACTCCTCTCTAATGTTTCTCCAAAAAGTTATATAGGTTTTGTTTAATACCGTATTAGAATAGGCGATGTTCAATCAATTTATATTTGTTTTAAGATGAATTGCCACGTGCATGTAGTTTTTATTTGTTCAAGAGTTCAAACACACCTAAAAGAACATTTTGAATCGATAGAGTATATTTGGATTTTACCTCTGCATAATTAAAACAACACAAACCGAAAGTATTAATTTTTAAACGATTTTTTGTGCTTTTAAGCAAACTTAAGGTTGGAAGGTTTTTTTTTCCATACGCTGTACAACAACATATATGAATATTAAACACTGGGCAATGGAGTATATTAATATTTAAATAGTACTTAACCGACAAAAAAAATATGAAATATATCATCACACAAACCACCGAAAGTTAATGACAAAATCATCAATTTAACGATGAGTTTACATCTTTTATTAAAAATACTAGTTTTATTTAATTTTTCAGTCAATCTAGCTTAATAATTTGCCTTCTTTAGCCTATCACGATCAGATAATAGAATCGCTATAAAACTAAAGTATTGTAGCTTATTGTAACATTTGAATTTTTATTTTCATTTTTTATTTTATTTTGTGGGCAACAGTTATAATTTGTCATTACGCCATATCGTTCAGTTACTGTTTTTATTATATGTACGGAATTTAAGAAACTGTATTCCTTTCTTCTCGTTTTTTATATCCCCCTAAAAAAAATTTTATTTTAAAAAAGTGAAAAAAAGTATCTAACCACAAAAAATTTACTCAGATTTTCGAATAATTTTGGAGTTAACATTGAAAAACATTAAGAGTTTTAAAAAATGACCGTTGTCGTTATTTCCTTACATATATCCCATAACATCTCGTTATTGGTATAGTCTTTCAGATAGAATAATAAAAATATCAATAATATATAATTAAAGACGTTAATGATGCGAAGCTGCGTAAAAATAGTACACTAAACTTGGTCGAATGCGGCAATGCAGTAAAGGATAACACAGCGTAGAGTCATATAAAATATTATTTTATTATCGTTGATGATATGAGAAGTTTTTAGAACGTCCAGTGTTGTCGTGCAATATAACTGTTGAAAATCAATACGTTATATTATCTATAACCGATGACAGTATAGGCGTTTGTTGTTAACATAGTTTTTTAACGTGTCGCTGTCGGAGCTTTTTATACTCCTTCATAAATTATTATTGAATTTGTTATATTAATGCAAGCATGTGTATCCAAATGTCTACTGCGACGATCATACATAAAATTAGATCCTAAAAAGTATTTTGCTCGAATTGTACTCTTCTTACCAATTATTTATTTTCGGTTAACTAAAATTATATGCACACTAGAAAATCATTAAACTCATATTAAATACCCTGAAAGCTGTCCCATAGTTATGTATAAGTTCAAACTCGACAAAATTAAAAATGTTAATTTTTTATTAATCCGAACATATAAGATTATAGCGAGAAAAATAATTAAAAGCTTAAATGAGGTTGGACAAATAAGCAAATTTTGAATCTCATTGAGTTACATTAGTAGTTTCGAAACAATTGAGTTTATATTAAACATTTGTTAAGATTTGTAAATAATACTTTCATTAATTATTTTTGTATACCAAATAGGGTTATTTAAAAAAATTAATACAGTAAAAAGTTTAACAGTAATATTATTACCGTTGAACTTCGAAAAATGTATTGTATTTTTTTATTTTGCGGTATAAAACCGCAAAATACTGGTTTTGTTACTAAAAAAACTCTCTATCATTATCTGGAATTACTAGAACTTTTGGCTACCATGTCAACCGTACAATATTTTAATAATTATTATAATCACTTTTGAACAATTAAAACCGTTACTTAAGCACAAATAAATCTTTACATAAATAGTGTGCATGCTTAAGTTTTGTTACAAATTAAAACTATTGGAAACAAATTAAAAGCCCTTAAAAACTATAATAAGAGAATGAAAATTATATATCCAAGAATACGATTGAATTTTTAATAGGAAAATATTTTAAAATCGAATTAGCCGAGAGGGCTTTATCTATTTGAAACGGAAACTAAGAGAAAAACATGGAGTTGTTTAAATATTAAATTTGATGAGTTGGCTATAGCCCAAAGCAATTTTGGTAACCAATGCGTCGTCATAGATGCGTGCCCGCTCTTGGCCGCCCGCCAGTACTCGCTGTATAGTTATAATAATGGTATTGTGTGCGTTAGTCATGGTAACGGTACTCGAGCAAAGTGAATGATCTTCAATATCAACAGCGTTGACCAACCATCGGTGACGATGCGAATGCGAATTTTAAACTCGGGGAAAGAGTAAATTTTAACTAAAATCTGAAAGTTCCTAAACTTTTAATTACACACATGATATTGTTCGAAAGTGATAACAAACTATGAATTGTGTAATTTATATTTATTTGTCAAGACAACTACTCAATCAAACGCATAAACTGAAAATAATTTTGTTTTCATTTTATGGACATTCCGTTAAGATATTTGTATTCAAAGCGCTTTTATATCTGTACTGACTATAAAGTAATGATATATATATTTTTTTTTTTTATTAGCCGTGAAAATATACGCAGATACTTGTAATATCAATACAATGGTCGATGAACCTTTTCAGGGTTATAACTACTGGAATTAGTTTGATAATAATATTAAAAAATATTTTAAAAGGATGTCTTATGGAATTTAATAAAAGTTATAAATTTACGATTAAGTTATAGTTAAATGTGACAAATCGAAGGTCGTTCGGCTCATTAATTTAAACATAAGCTGACTGGCTTTTTGGTAAACTCTTGTTTTCCAACACAATTTTAGATTAATTTAATAAAAAGTGATAGAAACAAAGTCTTTCATTGCAATAATTTCCACTGTTCTCGATTAATTAGATAGAATAATTAATACTTTTTATGACAAGCATTTAGCATAATAAGTCTCTAAGTATAAACAACGCACAATCATTATTCATCAATTAGCATTGGAAGAATATCGTAATATAAAATTGAACTTGGAGTCATCATTTAATAATTTAGTACTGAGTGTTTTATTTCATTTTAATAAATGAAGTTTAAATAGATAAAATGTTGTGTACATGAAAATGTATTGGTAAAATTTTAAATAAAATGATGATTCAATAATTGAATCAGTATTAACTAAGAAAAATATTTAAAAAAAAATTACAAAAGTACAAAGCGTGCGGTCTATAATAAATAAACTATTATATAATTAGTTTTGTGGATTTTCACTATGGTAAATTATTAAAAGAGTAGATCTTATATTTATCTTATGTACATGTAAAGTGAAAATAAATTATTCAAATTCAGTTTATTAAGTAGGACTTTCAAATAATTTTATAAGACCAAGTAAATACTTTGATAGATATAGATTTGAGGTCCGGTATACTGATAAGCAATGATAAAATAATAACCAATATTGAATATTTTTTTAATAAAAAATACTGTTGTTGTTTACAATAGGTAATGAAACAAAACTAGCAACAGCACAAATCATTGCATAATCATTTCCTGTAAAATATTTTACCGGTCGTAAATAGGTAAATCGTACGATTACAAATGATTGTAGCGCTTTCACTATCGCTAAGAACTTATTTAACCCGAGTTAAAGTAATTCGTACTGGTAATTTAAAGATTTGTGAACTTTTCATTAACGAAAATTTTAAATCAACTTTAAAAATAGTTTGAATAAGTTTAACTGTGAGACTTTGAACATTTAATGATATTGGGGCCGTACGTACCTGGGACGGCCGTCGAGGAGGACGGTGTAGTGTTGGCGTTAACAGCGGGCGGACGAGTCGCCGATACGTACGCCTGAGCCGTTGGAGGCGGCCGGTAAGTCGAGCTACTCGGCGATTGCACGCAGACGTCCTGAAACGTTGCGTGCGGGGACAAAACGGCCGATTCAACAGAACCTGGGTCGTCGGGAAATGCCTGAGACGACGAAGGATCGTGACTTTCGGAACCCGCCGTATCAGTGGTGGTATCGTCGAAAAAGCTCAGGTTAAACTCTTCCGTAGTACCAGCACCAAAAGACACATCAGCCGTTAGCTTATCGGGCGGCGGCGCACCGCCTAAGCCCGTGTTTAGCGACTGGTTGAACACGTCCATCGGACGACCGTTTCACAGCGATACTCGCGAGCACGACGTAAGCAGTGATAAGGACGACGGTCCTCGCGCAACGGTTAAGTCACTGCACCACAACGTAACATTATGTAGACCGAACATTGTTGCACTATTTCGTGTACGAACTTTCGGCGGCACCAGCGACCTCGGTTCGCATACTTAGGTTGCCGGAAATAGATTACACTGTGATCGTAAAGGTAAAGCAAATATATACTTTTATAGACGGAAAAAACAAAATAAAAAAAAGATTATATATTTATTGAAACACCACTAAATGAGTGTCATACTATGACACTATTGGTGATATTATTTACAGCACACGTGCTGCCGCTGAATCCCGCACACAAACGCCGCGAACCCGCGCCTGTGTCTTGGTACGTGGAAGACGGCTGCAGGTAAACTACTATGTTATGTACTATGGTCGGCCCGTGTAAGTGTATACAATATTGTGTGTGAGTGTGCTGTTGATAGTTCAGTGACCGCTGCCGCAGGTTGTAAGATGAAGCAGCGGTGGTGTGGTGCGACCGATGATGGTGGTACGGTGGTAGTACTGTACGCACTCGACGTCGACCGCTGCGGCATCGGTTTAGTGGGAGTGCCGCGGCGTCAAGTCGCTGTAGCTGCTGTTGCGTTGTCCGCGCACTACGAAATTGACAAAGGCGTCCGCTGGCCGCTAGTGACTACATTTACGTAAGTGCAACTTTAAATCGCAGTAATTTTCAAATAATAACTAATCTAAGTGACTCTTATCGAACAGCAGGTGTTAACCTGAAGAGACCAAATAAAGAACATGAAAACAATTTTCTAAACTTTTTTTTCTTAAAAACAGGCGTGTGTCTTCACGCGGAACAATTGGGTGCTATTGCCTCAGGCTGATTCGAATTGGGGGGGATCCCCTCCCCAATTAATAGTTGCATCGACCCATTTTGGAAATTTCAATACTTGATTTGAGTAAAATGTATATTATTCTTAATCGTTATCATATTAAACAATTTAATTAAAATATTATATTATAACAAAATGATAAAATACATAAAAGTACATTTACAGACGGACATACGTGTGACAAATCTTTTTTATAAATCATACATTACTATGATTTCGTTTAACAGCTATACGCCGAAAACGCTTAAAGAATATCCCTCCTTTCCCCCTTCAATACGTTTTGTACAAACAAATTAATCAAAGTAGCCCTTAAAATTTGGAAGGTCCCAAAATATGGTTTGCTACTATCTACAGTCCATAGTCAAAAATCAATAATTTTGTTATTGTATNCAAACAAATTAATCAAAGTAGCCCTTAAAATTTGGAAGGTCCCAAAATATGGTTTGCTACTATCTACAGTCCATAGTCAAAAAGCAATAATTTTGTTATTGAATTTTTACTATCGAAATCCTAATTCAGTCGTGATTTATTTATTTATTTATTCAGTATAACGCTCATAAGAACAATTGAATTGAATAAATACAATTAATAAAACGTATCGGGGTGACAAAAGCTCAACATTCAAACTGTAACGTAAAAAGACCACTTCAGAAAAATATTTAATGTTGTGCAACGAAAAAAAAACTAAAAATAAGCAATTAGTGGAGAATCCCTCATATATTTATTGTAGTACGCCCAGGGTAAAACTTAAAATATTATTTGGTCATTAATATTTCAAAAATGAATTATTATTACAAATACTACTGTTATTCAATAGAATTAAACTACCCAAGGGAATCTGCTCACTATCGACTATTCCACAGTCGGATAGTAAACTCGGACTTCGTTCAGATCAAATGTTTTAACTACGTAATTGTTGTGTACTATCTGTAGAACTAATCGTACACGACGTTGGTAAAAGTTTTCCGTGAAATTACCGAGTAAGAGAAGTTATCTTGGCGTTGCGCATATTAAAAGCAGCCCACGTCAATATGCAGGAATTTATCTTTGTAGAAGTGCTTCTGGAATCATTCCAGGGAGATCAGATACACGTCGAGGATAAGATGACAATGAAAATATCTGCAACAATAATCCTTCGGCGACTGCGCGCCAGTAAAACGCGAACTTGAAAAACGCTACTGGCGAAATAGGCGCGCAACCAGTTTTAGCACGGCACGTTATTCAACTCATAACAATTATATTAGTAATATTTCTGTACCTGTGTCTAAGTTCTGCACAGGGTTGAAGAGAATTCCATAGAAACTGCCGTTGTACATTAATGTAATGATGCTGTACATCGACAATGCCAAGTGCACGACCAACCGGCAGCTAATATTCTCTGTAATATTGATGTCGTAGTGTCTAATAGTATGGATAAGAAACGAGCATCCAAAACGGTAATTAATTCTTAACCCCCAACATTACTGACATTTTTATATTGAGCAGACTACTTACTATAAAAATACATTAAAGATAAATTCAAAATCCATGTCATCTTTAATTAGTTTATCTAATTCCACTGTTGTCACGCTATTACACGTCCGGACAATATTCAATTGAAACACTAATACATAGATACAAATGCATTATGCGAAAATTCTCAAGCGATCGTTGATTTCCTGCTGGCAACACAAAGTACAACGAATAGATCTTGTTTTCCATTCGGTAATATATTAGCAACTTGATTAAAATCGTGCAAACGTTTATTTCTTATTCACATAAGTAGTCAATATTGTTTGTTAATCGATAAATTATAAGTATTATTTCTTGTGTCCAACATTTTTTTGATATATTCCATTATTTGGTATCATTTCTATTTATACTGTAAGCTGAATTTTATCGCATTTGATTCTTTTTTTTAATGCCTAATAAAATTTATTTCGCAAACAATATTTAAGTATTAGATAGTATTAAAATAGCTTGACAAAATCTATGGTCGGATTCAAAAAAATTGATGGCGTAATAAATTATTTAAATTTTGACGCATAAGATTTTAATATCTTATGTTGTACCTGATTTTACATCTGACTAAATATAATGTTTTGAGGTTAAATTAATTACACGTTTTCACTAAAATCCTTCGAGGTGCATTTTGTAAACTAAGTGTAACTATTAACACGAAGAATCTTCATGGAGAGAATATGCAGGATTTCATTAATAAATCAGAAGATGATCATAATTTTCCAACAGTAACTTATACTATAACAATGAGGGTATTTGTAATCGTGCAGCTTGTATATTTATTATGTTGTATAATTAATAGTTATTTTATTATATAATGTTGTAACGAAGACTAATACAACAGGTTATTAAGTACTACAAACGAAGAATAGAAATCATTTGCTGTGTTCCTTATACTCGTGTTTTATACATTATGGTTTTTAATAATCCTATCGTTTTTCATACACTCAGTTAAAATATGAATATTATCTTTTTGTTGAGGATACCATCCACAACAATGCATGTCACATTAAAACATAATCATCAGTTTTTGGATTTAATCGATAAACAAAATTGCTAGTGCTCTGCAAATATTATTTATTGAACAATTAATCTTTATAAATCAAATTAACCAAATAATTATTTAATAATTGATCCAGAATGTTACACATTTTAGTATGTAGACCGGTTTCTATGGATCAACGAGTAGGACGATGATCTTTAAAAACCAACAAAATATTTTTGGAGTTGACGTAACAAATTCTCAGTGTCTACTAGCGAGTTTTAATTTTTTTGATATTTAGAAGCCCGTTTATGTGGAAAAAGTTAATTTGACATTTTTGTTATGAAGTTCCTTTGTCGAAAAAGTTCTGTCGTTGTCAAACTTCAAACAATAATGAATGAAAGGTGCCTTAAAATATTGTCTTCAGGTATAAATCAATATGTAACTTCGTGGATGTATTACGGTATATAATGTATTTATACCGCATCTTTAAATCAAAAAGTCATTGGCCATTCATGCCGCCAACTTGCACGTGCATTTTGTTTTATAATAATTAGACGTTGGATCAAGACACGAGTAAGTTATTTAGTAAGTTATATTCATTGATCTGTATATAGGGGCGGACTGTCCACAGGATCCCCCGAGTAGCCGTCTATAGACTGATGAGGGTCGCTATGAATAGCGTAATTGGTATGGTTAATCCAACAAAGAATCATGTTTAACTATTATATATTTTTATTATCATTTATTATCGTTGGTTTGCGTATATTCTGTATCATTTAATATATCACTGATGAGAAAATAAATTATAGTAAGTTGGATTTTTAATTGTGATAGATGATTATGATTTTAAGGGTATTAAAAATAATTTTCGGAAACCTTTTTTTTTTTATTGATGCAACATTTTTTGAAACGAATCAATTTTTGTGTCCTCTGGGCGGTTGGCCTCCCAGTCTGCCTCTGTCTGTATAACTTTAAACACGTTATGTACGAGCCGCAAAGAGAACGTTCGATTTCCGTTTCTTGTGTTTCCTTTTCAATATTATGATAATGATTTGTGTTACGCGTGTCGTACAAATGGTATTACCTATTACTACTGTCATGTACTGGAAAGATACTGTGTATTACGTATCAGATGCATTTATATCTCAGTTCGTTTTGAAACCCACGCGACAATATGAAATAATCGACTCCGAAAATACGAAAGGTCAACTGAGTTCATAACGAATTAAAATAATGAAAATAAAAATAAATTATGTTTTTCTCTCCTTATACATATATGTATATTTTTTATTAATGGTTGCTTGGTGAACCGGTTTTATCTCGGAAAACAAACTCGTGGCTGGTATGATTTTTGAACTTTAAATCCTATAAGATAAACCGGTTTTAGTTCCGAAAGAAAATATTTTTGGAACACGCATTGATTATTTGGCTGTTTTTCTCTCTCTCTTTTCATATTACCGACTAAGTAGACTCCTTTGATCTATAACATGGTATATTTTTAATAAACCGCAAACGGCTTAGCAAAATAAATAAACTTTAAGTAATTGCATTGGCTAAAAAAAATGTTGTAAGGAACTCCTAACAAACCATATGTACGACCTAACAACAAACATGATATTCATTGTGGAAACGAGTGGTTAAATTTTATTCAATAATGTTTTAATGTATGGAAGAATAATATTGTATATGCATCAAGATCAATTGTAATAGTTATCATTTGTTAAAACAAGTGTAGGTTTGTTATTACGTTCAGTTTCTTGACCTTATCGAGCACTGGCCGTAAAAGAACAACGTTCGTTTCGGACATATTGGGATACTAATTACTTCTTGAAATAATAAAAAGCCAAATGTGAAATAATCTGTTTAATTAATACATTACATGATCCCGCAAATCATTTAAATACTTCCAAAATATAATAAATTTAACTACAATATTATTTACATTTATCATTAATAATGTACATCATTCTTGATTTTTGTGAGATTGAAAAATTAAAATTTAGTTACTAAATATACTAAAAAAAAATTACATTGAAA